TACAAAGAAATGTATGGGATCTGAAATAAAATCTTATTTTTTGGCAGTTTAAATAAATTAAATTCTACGTGCCGACCTCTCGTTGATAAATAATATGCAACTGCACTACGAAGCGAAAGTTTTTTCACCGTTTCGTTTATTCGTCGAGCCGCGGAATAGAGGTAAAATAACAAAGATCTTCGGTTGTACTTCCTTTATAGTTTCATCCAAATACCTTCACTTACCTTCACTTCCATGCTTTGAGCTGTCCGTGTGTTTCATGCTTTCATCGGTGCCGACCCCTCAAAATTTTCTTCAGTTTACGATCTTTCAAATACGTTAAATAAAGCCTTCCATGATAAAATAGGAGGCCGCAAATCAATCTTGAAAATAGGGCTTTTTCACTATTAGACGTAACCTTTACCTGAGCTCGCGAATGTCCTGTAGGACGCGAAGAACGACCACTTTCCATCGTTTTCTTCGTGAAAAAAGTCGCCATATTTACTTCAGCTTAGCAGCCTAGCATTTCCACGCTTTTTACCGCTGTTTTAACAATCTGCAGACTCCTACAAGCGCCAAATCGCGCCAATTATAAAAAACAAAACTTGTATCACTGTGAGCTCATTCCAGTCTGAATCGTCAAAAAATGTCTGATGTTTTGCTCGATTTCGAAAAGAAATCCCTAGAATTTCAACTTAAGGTCACTGAATCTCCTCTTTCTTATATAAAACAGCAATGCGTTCAAGAATCTCGAATAGCTCTGGCAATATACATCCCGTATCCAATTTTGATGAAATGGCATGAGCTTCTTCAATCTTCGCCGGCTGATAAGTCTCTCCACAAAATAAACTTTAGATCCGCTTTTAAATTTTCTCCTTCCTTTCAAATGAACTTCTAAATCCACTGTAGAAAGAACATTTAGTGCTTTATAATCAACTCGATTCCTCCGCGGAAATCTACTTCGCTCCATGTTTACATGAAATCTGACGCCATAGCGCATGAACAGTAGAACCTGAAGAAACTACTGACCTCGCGGACCGCGGGAGTAAAATGTCTCGGATTGCTGGTAATGCCAGGGTAATATAAGACATTTACAGATGGTAATATATTGCAAGCAGAAGAGGAATTACAAAAGAACAATTATAGAGTGAGGCAACCAACAATAAAACCCAGTAATAAACGTATAATCTCCTTATCGTCCGGCACACCAATTAAAGCATTCCGATATCACTTTGATCGAAAAATGTCAAAACAGATCAAGGATAGCAGTTTTCTTACCATGGCGTCCAGGGCACACACAATATTCAACTTCTCACGTACTCCTCCAATGTTCAAAGAGCCGTTCAAGTTGGAATCTCATTGAAAAGTAAGCGTGAGTCGGAGAAAGAAAAGAGAGCTCGACAATTGACATTTAATGCATGTCATAACACTACTTAATACTATAAACATGTTCAGGCCCACCAAAGCGTGCAAACTGTGGTAAACCGGGAGGCCGGCAAACCGTGGTAGAATTCAGTCTCGTTGCTATTTTAATTGACGCTTTCATGAACGACAACAAATAAGTGCAATATCAGCAGTGAAAAAAGAGGAGAAACTTACCAAATTGGCTCTGCTTTACGGCAAAGCGAAGTGAAGACTATACTACGCCATGTAATGGTTTCGTGTCAGTCTTCACATTTGATGACGTCATACCCCCAGCAGATCGCTGTTCCATTTGCGGTTTGTATTTTTGGTGGTTTCGGCGAGATGCCTTGGCGGCCGTCACCACCAAAAATACAAGGATGTCGTATAGATCAGCAAATACAAAGATGGCTTAAGGATCAGCTGCAGGATAGCATAGCTAATAAAGGAATGGCATGGCTTTCATGTCACGCCAAGACGATTCGCCACAACATCGAAATATTTCAAGTAATACTACGCAATTTAATGTTCAGATAGAGTGTCTGATGTTTTGCAAAACTATTTGACCTAACGCGACACTATTTGTGTCTACGCTGTACCATTCTACATTACGCTGAGCCATTTCACGCAACGCTACACCATTTGTGTGTACGCTGTACCATTCGACATTATGCTAAGCCACTTCACGCAACGCTACTCTGTTTGTATGTACGCTGTACCATTCGACATTACGCTAAGCCATTTCACGCAACGCTACACTGTTTGTATGTACGCTGTACCATTCGACATTACGCTGAGCCATTTCACACAACGCTACACTGTTTTTATGTACGCTGTACCATTCGATGTTACCCTGAGCCGTTTAACTCAACGCTACACCGTTTGAGTACTGTATTGCAAATGAGTGCTAAGCTATTCGTAATTGAGCTAGTCCATTTCACAATTTCATGTTCCAACTCAACATGGGCTACTAGACCGTTTCTCATTTGGCTAAACTATTCATGTTTAGGGTGTTCTGTTTCACGAAGGAAAACTAGACTGTCTATAATTTGGCCATGCCATTCCTTTATTAGCTTTGCTATCCTGCAGCTGATCCTTACACCATCTTTGTATTTGCTGATCTATTTGACATCCTTGTATTTTTGGTGGTGACGGCCGCCCATATCACAGTCTACTGCCGTTCCTTCAAAAGTAAATACAATACGAGAGGTATGTTAAAATATCTGATCAAGCTGTATTACTTCAAACGCTATACAATCCCGCCGCTCGACTAAGGCGAAATCACAATGTTTCTGGAATGATTATAGGAATTTTTTTTGGTTGGCTAAAAACAGCTCGACATGAAGGTTTTTTGTGGACAAAGTACCGAATGCGCGTATTTTGCTTATTGCTCGTATTTTCCGTCGCCCCACCCGAGGCTCGGAAAAATATTTCGCAACACGCAAAATATCCGCGCGTATTATGTGTTAAACCATCGAATATAGTGTATGTATCGATGATGCACAGGACACATACATTCAATATATAAAAGATAAAGAAGTGGAAGTCGTTTAACTTATATTCAACATCCTGGCTTTTTTTATTTCAAGTAGCATACATGTAGGCGACATAACTTGGAAATACGTGCATACGATAAATTGTCCACAGAGGGCCGGCGTTTCTAACAGGACACCGAAAGAAATGAAATATTTCATCGCCCTCGGTAGACTTTTTCATTGTGTTTTCAAGGCACTACAAAAAAACTTCTTTATCGAAAGTGAAATAAAACTTTTTCTCTCGTAAATTTACACCGAGTCACACAACGCGTGACACTTTCATGAATTAATCGTTTGCTTTTTTCTCAAGACGCTTATGGTGTGAAGATTTTGAAAATACTTCGGAAAACAGCAGTTCCGAAGAAAGTTCTAGTGAAGATGAAACTGACTCTTGAACCTGACTGTTCAATGATCAAAGCGACAGTAAGCACCGTAAATTCTGCCGCAGCAATAAAGTAATGGGCTCCTATGCTAAGGGCTCCTGTCCCATACAAACTCTTATATTTTCGCCATGACGCCCTTTACGCAAGATCCCATCCCAAGCTGGAGCTTGGGCTGCCTGTGGTCAGTCAGGAATTTTAAATGTAACTGTTACAGGCAGAAGGCCGCCAAAATATTTAATTTTTAAGCGGCAAGCAAACGGTGAGGGTAAAAGATTTGTACTTCGGGATACATCATGATGATCAGTACCCTGCTTACTCAGGATATAACTATTATGGCTCCCAAGTTTACGTTTAAGCCGAATCCTTAGGCTCAAGTACTGTTCAATTTGAATATCCATAATTGCCATTTCGTGGTTAACAAATATTTTTCTGTTTTTCATTGCGCCTACGATTAACGAACAGAAAATTTACAAACAACAGACTTAGTCAGCGGAGTACGCCCGGGCCTGAGCGGAAATAATTTGACAAGAAGGCTGCGAGGGAACAAGGCTACAGATCGGAAGTACCGTTCAGCTTGGATTAAGTTCTGAATTGTGCTATCTAATCGAAAATCGATACACAAGGCTCCTCGTTTTTCAAAAAAACTCCTACTATATACAATATGCTATCTCAGTAAAAATGCGATTCAATCTCGCCGAATGGTTAGGCGGAATCACAAAATAACTATTTCAAATTGAACGGTATCGATTATTGCCTGAAAGAAAGAACTGGTAAATCGGGGGGCTTTTTCGATGTCACTTCGTTAAGATTGCTCGAAAGCTTCCGAAAAGTCATAAAAAGATCTAAGTGACAATAGCCATCTAACACCAACGAACAATGAAAGCTTTCCCCAAAAGCAGTCCTAGAAATCAGCATAAATTAATAACCTGTGTAAACTTAGAAGAGTGTTTTCTAGATAAAATTGACGTTTTGAAGGAGAAAACGATAAAAGCAAATCCTGAGTTTTATTCCTTTCTCACCTAGTGAGATTGCTTCGAGAGCTTCCGAAACACGTTATAGTCAACAACTTTACAGAAGACAGTGAACACACCTTAGGGCGTGGCGCGACATGAAACCTTTTTAGGAAATGACTACATTTACTATTTGTGTATTGTATTTAATGGTCCACAGCCGCACTTGAAGTAAGAACAAATTAAGTAATCAAGGAAATAAGAAACCGACAAATTAGCAAAGACAAAAGAAAACAAAAAAATTGCATATTTATTTCTCTAAAAGACTAAAAATCAGTTGAACTTTCCCTCTTATGATTATGATGTCGTTTTCCAACACATGCGTGATATTGAAATTTCCCATCATTTTTTCTTTATCATGGTCAAGATGATCGAATTTAATTCTTACTGAATTTTGGAGCATCTTGCATGAAAGCATGTCTTTGATTCGTTTCGTTTCGTCCTTAGGTATCTCGCAACCTTACTTAATAATAGATCTATCGGCAAAATAAACCAAAAATGGGTTAGATGAACGGAAAGGAATTATTAACGAAAGGCATAGATTAAAATGACCCTTCTTAAATGAATCGAAAAGAAACGTTTGTTCAGAGAACCCATCCGTGGAAATAACTTTCAGCTTTTTTGTGTGTTATTTCTCAGGTATCACAGGCAAAGATCTGCCTCCGATTTCGCGACGCCCGGTCGTTGGTAAAATGGCCTTACAACCATTTACGAATGAACAACTGAATTATTTCAAGTTTGCTTTCCTCGTGTTAAATGAATTTCCCAAAGCATTACGGCAAACCTTTAAACAGATGTGGAACAACACCTTTGCGTCACTTCCTGGTTTTCAACCCTGGGATGACTCTAATGCTGTACGTAACTTGTTCTTAAGTACTGAAGGTGGAGCATCCAAAGTCCCCACACATCTTTCCTATGATGAATGGGATTGCACAGTCTTGTTCCAGGCCACCATCTACGCGCACTCCTTTGCTTTGCCAGATAGCAAAGGCCATGACAGGATACTCCATGATTTGTATTTGAGGTCCTGTAAATTACCACGTGGTACTTTCCATTCCTCTGTGGTTAGCTCGACTGGAGATGACGCAGAAACCTTTGCACTGGCGGTCGATCAGCTTCGTTTGTTGAGAAATTCGCTCTTTCATTTAAATAAATCCGAATTGGACAAAATAAAATACGATCGATACGTTCAACTCGCTAAAGATTCGATTAAAGCCCTTGGAGTTAATACTGACCCTATTGATGCTGTTGGAGGTTTGACTGAGTCTGACTTTCCCACCGAGAAAGTTCGCAAGTTAGAAGATGACGTCAAAAAAGAACTTCAAAAAAAAAACGAATTCCTCGAAGAAGAAGTTATTGATGACTTACAGCTCTTACAGAAATCTCAAAAGGAAGGTACTGAAGAGCTAAAGAACGCAATCGAATCTGCAAATGCCACTACCCAAGGCACGATTGAAACTAAGTTTGCCGAGTTCCAAACTGAAAGCAGACTTGTCAGAGAAGGTGTTAAAGATGAGCTTCATCTTCTACAGGAATCACACAAAGACGATACCGAGAGCCTGAAAGAGGCAATCGCTGCTAGTGAAGAAAGGATGGTTAAGAAGATTAACGAGTTTAGCCAAGAGATGAAAGACCTTCTGAGGGAGCCCCAAAGTCTAGGTAAATCGCAAATTAAAACGCAATATTTTTGTGATTCTGATTTGACTAAAACTTGAACCGCGCTTTTACCGGGCTTCAACGAGCGACCTGGTGATGCTAAGAACCTTTCTTTTCGTGTACTCACGATTTTGTGTCCTTCACAGTCGCTGAATAGTCTTGTATGTAATCGACACGCAATGCCCTCTCTTTAAAAAACAAGTTTGGTACGAGGAAAAAAGTGGCGACATGGGAAGCTACTCAAAAAATGACTCTGTTATGTTTAGTCAAAGATTGATTAAACCGTTATGATTGCAGCCACGAAGGAGGGATAAGAACTAATCAACTAAAAGTAGTGTTTCCCTATACACCTTTTTCAAGCTATCACACAGTCGGTCGAGTCTTCTTTATTTGTTCAGTTCACTTCCCTTGTACCACAAAGGATTTTGAGTGCATACTGATTGATCCTGTAAAAGCCGGTTCTTTAATTATATTTTCATTTTCTAAAACCCACTTCTTTCTAGGATTTAAACTACGTTTTTCACGATTGAATCTTCCTGCTCACTTTACTGGCCGTGAAAAAGAATGTGAAGAGATTATTGGCCACTTGACCTCTGATTCGACGCAAATCGTATCAGTTTGGGGGTCACCAGGGTTTGGAAAGACGTCTACTGCAATCGCTATTGGTCACCAGCTTCAAAAGGTCGGTCTACCTGTCTGTTCTATCTCACTACGTGGGCTTAATTCAAAAGGTGATTTAACGTCAAAGTTACTCAGCCACTTTCGAACTGCTGAATCGAAAAATCAGAGTTTGACAGCTGCCGATGAAATTGGTTTCATCTTTGAAAGACTATCGGATCCATGTTTGTTGATTCTTGATAATGCAGATGACTTGTTTGAATGTGGCGAGCCAGATGTGAAAGAGAAGACTGTTAATTTAATAAAAGACCTTCTCAATCGCAGTGAAAAGGTCAAATTTCTATTAACCACACGGGAGCCAATGGCCTATTTGGATATGTCTCTACAGGGACACAAGTCCACCAGAATAGGAGAACTCGACAAGTTGTCCTCAAGTGCTTTAGTGAAAAAGTTACTTCCACATGCGAGCTCCTCTGACGCAATAAAAATCGTGCAGATGTGCGGGCAGGTTCCCCTAGCCATATGGTTGCTATGTAAGTTGCTCTCTGACGATTCTGCTCAATGTAGTGCAGCGCTTGATGAATTAATGCTGTCTAAAAGTAGCCTACTTGAGTCGCTGGACAACCCAGAATATACCAGTGATGCAAGGCTTAAAACCCTGTTTGAATCGTCTTTCCTGAGACTGTCTTCGCAGGACCAAGAAGCACTAGTGTCTTTGAGTGTTCTTCCAGAAACATTTGACCTTGAGATTGCTACAGCCGTTTTAGGACTAGAGAGATCCACCGAAACTAAGGAAGTTTTGAGAAGACTGCAAGGGAGGGCTCTCATATATAGATGTTCAAATTCGGACAAATTTTCCATTCACAAACTCTTACAATCCTTTGCGAAAGACAAGGGTGAACGTGAGATGGGAGAAACAATTTTGATTGCGAACACTCGCTTTTTATTATTCTACATTGACTTGGCTGAGAAACTCAATGAGATGTTCCTCACAGGACACTCCATGAAAGCATTGATCGAGTTCTTCGACAATGAAAAAAGCATCGTAAAAAGTTTTATGGATGGTTGTTCAAACTACAGGGCAGCGGACAGAGTTTTTCAAGTTTTGGCTAAAGCAGAGTTTTTTCTTGATACTGCTTATAGCAACGACGAACCTAATTTTGACAAGATTTATCAAACAGAAATAGAGGCAGCTAGTCAGCTTGGACGAAGTGTTCTCCACAGACAACTAATCCAATCCAAAGCGTTCGGCTACATGACTTGGGGAGAAGGTGGGCAAACAATGCTGTTGCTTTCGGAGGCCAATAGACTTCAAAGTTTAACCACTACCACTTGTCCCGAAGAGAGAGGTAAACACTTGTGCTACTCTGGCATCTATCAGCTTGTGGTAGGAAAGACGCAAGATGGAGTTGGAAGTTTAAAAGAAGCTATCTTCCTTCTAATTAAAACTGCTGAGCACAAAGTTCTGAGACTTATGATTCTTCAAATCCTTGCTATTTTCTATCGATGTACAAAAGGCGGTAACGAGATGTCAGCCATGTTCTATGACAGAGCAGTGCAAGAATGTAGAGATGCGGAAGACATGAATTTGTTGGTAATTCCGGATAATAAGGGAGAAGCAAATTATTGGGACGAACGCAGAGTACCCTCACAAAATCTTGCAAACAAACCCATTGAAGTTGCAATGATCAATCTTGTGAACAGTGCAATTAAAAAAATATCGTCAACTGAAATTACAAATTTTTTAGTTAAGTTACTGTTCAGAATGCTTCAAGGCATCGAGTCAACAAATGAAATAACGAAAACTGGCTGGTTTAAATTTCAAGCAAGCACCATTAGTATGCTGAGTACATTTCATAGGTATCAGGAAGGTTTATCCCTAACTCAGAAACTAATAACCTACCACCTAAATTCACTGCAAAAGGGGACGACAGGCGAAGAAGACGATGGCTCAAGTCTACACAAAGAAGCTCTAGCAGAGTGTTATTTGCTACAAGGAAGATATCAACATTGCCTACGTCACTTCTGAGAAGCTTTCACCTCAAAACAGCATGCTCTTACCATCATCTTAGAACTCTTCGGTGAAGAACATGTGAGGACTGCCGATGTATACTCGAAATTAGGGTTTACAAAATACGAACTAGGAGATTATAACTCAGCCGCTGAGTCGCACAAGGAAGCACTTAAGATCAGACAAAAGGAATTGGGTGAAGATCATGGGAAGACCGCTGACAGCTACCGTGACCTGGGGGTTACCCAATATATGCTTAGAGATTACATCTCAGCCGCTGAGTCACACAATCGAGCCCTAAACATCAGAAAAAAGGTATTGGGTGAAGATCATGGGAAGACCGCTGACAGCTACCGTGACTTGGGGGTTACCCAATATAAGCTTAGAGATTACAACTCAGCCACTGAGTCACACAAGCGAGCACTAAACATCAGAAAAAAGGTATTGGGTGAAGATCGTAAGAAGACCGCTGACAGCTTCAATCACCTGGGGTTTACTCAAATTGAACTTGGAGATTACACCTCAGCCGCTGAGTCACACAAGCAAGCACTTAAGATCAGACAAAAGGTATTGGGTGAAGATCATGGGAAGACGGCTGACAGCTGCCTTTTTTTAGGGGTTATCCAATATAAGATAGGAGATTACACCTCAGCCGCTGAGTCACTCAAACGAGCATTAAACATCAGACAAAAGGTATTGGGCGAATATCATGAGAAGACCGCTGAAAGCTACCATCACCTAGGGGTTGCTCAAATTGAACTTGGAGATTACACCTTAGCCACTGAGTCACTCAAGCGAGCACTAAACATCAAAGAAAAGGTATTGGGCGAAGATCGTGAGGAAACCGCTGACAGGTACTTTATTTTAGGGATTACCCAATATATGCTTAGTGATTACACCTCAGCCGCTGAGTCGCACAAGCAAGCACTAAACATCAGACAAAAGGTATTGGGCGAATATCACGAGAAGACCGCTGACAGCTACCATCACCTGGGGTTTACTCAAATTGAACTTGGAGATTACACCTCAGCCACTGAGTCACTCAAGCGAACACTAAACATCAAACAAAAGGTATTAGGCGAAGATCATGAGGAAACCGCTGGCAGCTACCATGACCTGGGGCTTATTCAAGTTGAACTTGGAGATTACACCTCAGCCGCTGAGTCGCACAAGCAAGCACTAAACATCAGAAAAAAGGTATTGGGTGAAGATCATGAGGAGACCGCTGACAGCTACAATCACTTTGGGTTTACTCAAATTGAACTTGGAGATTACACCTCAGCCGCTGAGTCGCACAAGCGAGCACTAAACATCAGAAAAAAGGTATTGGGTGAAGATCATGAGAAGACCGCTGACAGCTACAATCACTTTGGGTTTACTCACATTAAACTTGGAGATTACACCTCAGCCGCTGAGTCGTACAAGCAAGCACTTAAGATCAGACAAAAGGTATTGGGTGAAGATCATGGGAAGACCGCTGACAGCTGCCTTTTTTTAGGGGTTATCCAAAATAAGATAGGAGATTACACCTCAGCCGCTGAGTCACTCAAACGAGCATTAAACATCAGACAAAAGGTATTGGGCGAATATCATGAGAAGACCGCTGACAGCTACCATCACCTGGGGGTTACTCAAATTGAACTTGGAGATTACACCTCAGCCACTGAGTCACTCAAGCGAGCACTAAACATCAAAGAAAAGGTGTTGGGCGAAGATCATGAGGAAACCGCTGACAGGTACCTTATCTTAGGGGTTACCCAATATATGCTTAGAGATTACACCTCAGCCGCTGAGTCGCACAAGCAAGCACTAAACATCAGACAAAAGGTATTGGGCGAATATCATGAGAAGACCGCTGACAGCTACCATGACCTGGGGGTTATTCAAATTGAACTTGGAGATTACACCTCAGCCACTGAGTCACTCAAGCGAGCACTAAACATCAAAGAAAAGGTATTAGGCGAAGATCATGAGGAAACCGCTGACAGGTACCTTATTTTAGGGGTTACCCAATATATGCTTAGAGATTACACCTCAGCCGCTGAGTTGCACAAGCAAGCACTAAACATCAGACAAAAGGTATTGGGCGAATATCATGAGAAGACCGCTGACAGCTACCATCACCTGGGGTTTACTCAAATTGAACTTGGAGATTGCACCTCAGCCACTGAGTCGCACAAGCAAGCACTTAAGATCAGACAAAAGGTATTGGGTGAAGATCATGGGAAGACCGCCGAGAGCTACCGTGACTTGGGGGTTACCCAATATATGCTTAGAGATTACACCTCAGCCGCTGAGTCGCACAAGCAAGCACTTAAGATCAGACAAAAGGTATTGGGTGAAGATCATGGGAAGACCGCCGAGAGCTACCGTGACTTGGGGGTTACCCAATATATGCTTAGAGATTACACCTCAGCCGCTGAGTCGCACAAGCAAGCACTTAACATCAGTCAAAAGGTACTGGGCGAAGATCATGAGAAGACCGCTGACAGCTACCATCACCTGGGGGTTACTCAAATTGAACTTGGAGATTACACCTCAGCCACTGAGTCACTCAAGCGAGCGCTAAACATCAAACAAAAGATATTGGGCGAATATCATGAGGAAACCGCTGACATGTACCTTATTTTAGGGGTTACCCAATATAAGCATAGAGATTACACCTCAGCCGCTGAGTCGCACAAGCAAGCACTAAACATCAGACAAAAGGTATTGGGCGAAGAGCATGAGAAGACCGCTGACATCTTCTTTAACCTAGGGGCTACCCAAATTGAACTTGGAGATCACACCTCAGCCACTGAGTCACTCAAGCGGGCACTAAACATCAAACAAAAGGTATTGGGCGAAGATCATGAGAAGACCGCTGACATCTACTATCACCTGGGGACTACCCAAATTGAACTTGGAGGTTACACCTCAGCCTTTGAGTCTCATGAGGAGATCGCTGACCGTTTCCATGACCTGGGGGTTGCCAAATATATGCTTAGAGATTACACCTCAGCCACTGAGTTTCACAAGTTAGCACTAAACATGAGACAAAATATGTTGGGTGAAGATCATGAGAAGACCGCTGACAGCTACTTTCACTTGGGGGTTACCCAATATATGCTTGGAGATTACACCTCTGCTGCTCAGTCACTCAAGCGAACATGTCTCAAGCACTTTAAGGTCTGGGTTTTATTTTGGTTTGCGACTCCCTGCGGTGTTTTTTTTCTATTTTTTCTATTTTTTTCCATTTTTTTTCTATTTTTTTAATTGAACAGTACTAATATTACTAACAATACTCACAGTACAACTTACTGAACCTTACACTTCATAAAATACCTACCCTACATACTAAAGTAATACTTATGCTACTTACGATTTCATACCGTAATATTACTTAGAATACAACATAATTTACAGTACTTACTTTACTAACAATGCTTACTCTACTTACAATTACTTACACCACTTAAAATTACATACAGTTCTGACATTACTTGCAAAACTCGCGTTACAGCTTACAGAAACTTGCTCTACTAACAGTGCTTACACAGCTAACAGCACTAACATCAATAATTATATGGAATACTGGTAGTACGATCGTTATATTAACAGCTTTTTTAACAATGCTTTTAGTACTTCATTACTTGCTATATGGATAGTAGCAATATGTTTTTTTATTGATACAAACATAAAAGATAATAAAATAGATGAACAGATAAACAAACATATGAATAAATAAATATGTAAATAGATGATTAAATAAATATAGAGTATGTTTATGCACCGGTAGTAATCAGCATTGAGGCAGAGCAGTTAACCAAAACTGAGGGAAGAAGCATGTGTCAGAGGAGAAGGGACAGCGCTACAAAGAGAGAGAAAAAAAAATTCGGTATGAAATTATCGAGTTGCGTTTGGAAATAGAATATCTAAAAAGTTCTGGTATTTTGTTTCTACGTTTTCAGTTTCACTCGTTTCTTGTACAGCGCACTTTGATTTAAAGAAATCGAAAAAGCCGTTCAGCTCAGGAACGTATTTTTTGTTTTGCAGAGCCAGATGTAATATCTGGTTACGAGGAAACAGTAGTCTAATTGGCATGTAGATTTGGCCGAATCTGATTTAAATCCTATCGCTACAGCTGTTTCTAAGACAATTATCAGATACAATTTGACGGTGTTTAAGTTTTAGTAGTAATCTGTCCCAAAAATATTTCGTTTTTGAGCAGCTTCACAAGAGTTGGTGGAGACTTTCGGGATCTTCATTGCGGAAAGAGTGTTTAGTTTAGCTAAAAAATAATTTGTTGGTAACCTTCTATGCAAGAGTTTAGAAAGTTTCGTACTTTTTGTACAATTACAGGCTAACATATAGGCATTACTCTAGTTTGTGTCGTTTTGTTCTGCTCTACAATCGGCTGTCATTTCTGCTGACTTTTGGTCGGAGCACGCTTCTTCGCTGCTCTAAGTTTTTAGAGTCGGCGAGGTTTTTGAGACTTCATTAACGTTGTCGGAAAGCTTTCATAATTGTTACTGATGTTTGTATTGAGATTCCTTCTGCATGCATTCCACAGAGATTTTAACGTGGAAGTTATTGCGATGTTTACTAAAAGTTGTACTACGATATTAAATTTACTTTGAAAGTCTTGCAGAATAAGAAAGTTGTTCTCGTCATCTTTGCAATGTTTTACTTTGCCAATACCATGGACGTGCCAACTTTTAAAAAGAAGGGCTGTTCATCAATTTTAATAAGGGAGTTGTGTCAAATACTTTGATCTAGAAATTGACTTTCGGAAGTTACGCATCCCTAAAAATTGATTTAAGACCATAATATTGAAAAATTCTTTTGTGAATTTTCCCGAGTTCTTAGAGATTTTTTTCCAGGGTCTTTTGTGTTAAGATTCCCCTTGAAAGGTTAGCGGCAACAAACCTCCCTAATTCTACATTACAGAAAAGTTGCCACTTACCTTGGTTGGCTGTATCTAAGTATTTTGTAATCGACGTGGCTTTTAAAGCCTTGCTAAAAGATTGAATATCAACCATTTTTAGATCACTTTTGCATTGTCATTAATCATTACACTTGGTTTAATTTTGTAACCTTTTCCATTCCAAACAAATGAATTGAAGAGTGGGTTTATTTCATGGACGATTTTCTCACTAGAGCATTGGGGCGTCATAATGTAAACGAGTTCTAAGGACTTTTTGAAACCGTGATTTTTCTTAAGACAGTTAGTCTGCGATATTTCCAGTTACATAGGAAATTTGGGACTTTTTCTAATGTTTAAGTGTAGTTCAAACGATAGTAGCTTCGGGATCGGTTGATAGCCATGTGCCCAAGCTTCAAAAAGCGGCAAAAGGATATATATGGGTAAGTAAAGTCAGAGTTACTCCAAAGGCCATTCTGGGGCAATATATTTTCCGTTGACAAATAGCTTCTCCGAATGCACTTTGCTGAAATAGGCCATGTAACTTCTCTGTCGAGCTTCTTTCAGTTTCTTCAATTATTCATTTGGTAGATCGTGCAGTTCCTTCGGGATGTCGTCAAAAACATAAAAGTTTTGGTCAGCTTTGAGGTGTTTAAGTGCTCACTCTACGACGAGCTCTCTGTCGGAGTATTCCGGAGAAATCTCCTTATAATTGGGAGAGATCTCAGCAGGCTGAGCCTCCCCAGACGGTGCGCTCGCTGAAACCCGATTTTATCGCAGGGGTGATCAATTTTAAAGTGCCCCTCCAATGTTTTTAAAAAATGTTTCCTGGTGTTTTCTGGGTCACCGTGCTAACGGGATGATCCTTCTTCCTTATTATTTCTACCGTATGATACGTCAGTATTTTCTGGCAAGCCAAAGAATTTAAGATTTTCTCGTCTGAAGTAGGTCTCCATGTACATGAGCTGCTTCTTCAATGCATTAATGTCATTCTCAAGTTTCCTGTTGCTACGTTGTAGTTCGCGTATAACATCTTCATTTTATTGCATGCATCCTCGAGTTCCTTCACATTCTTCTTCAGCTTCTTCGTCTTGTTCTTTAAGCTTTTGACCTTTGTGTCTAGTCTACCCACTTCAGTGTTAATAATTTTTGCATGCATCTCATCGCGTTGTGACTCGATAATATCCAGCTTTCCAAGTTTCTTCAAAATTTCTTCGATTTTACCGCCCAGGTTTTCCGCCATGTTGAGAGCCTCCAATATATCGCAACACTCGGCTCTTGATCGTTTTTCGTCCGGAGAATTATTGAACTCTGTTAATGATGACGATAAAAATGCTGGTCTATTCTTTCACTTTGGAGGCATGAGAATTCTTCAATTAGGGATTTAAAGCGACCAAAGAAGAGGAGCTCAGCGAAAAGTGTTCACTTCGCCGCCATGCCAGTCCCAGTCTTCTACTTTAGCAGAGTTTCAAGATATTTAATCGGAGACTCAGTCGAAGACTCAGTCGAAGACTAGAAACATGGCGGCCGTGTTTCGATTAGAGCTTTTACGTTTTTGAGGAAGTTAAGATCGAGTTCTAGCCTAAAATTTATAGAAGACGCTGTTTTTTTCGCAGATGTCAGGTCTACAGCTGAGGTGAGTGTTGGTTTTGTGTTGTTTTCCAGAAATCAGCAATAACTTGCCGTAGCTGCGAATTCATTCACGCGTACATCCAAATTAAAAGCGTTTGATTCAAGGAAAACGCATTTTTTTCGTTATTATAAATTAGTGTTTGTATGGAAAATAATAATGTTTTCAGCTACTGCCGTTACAGTGACCACTGTGAAATTTGATTATCAATGGCCTTATCATTCTCGAGAGATAAACTTATCAATGATAGTGATTTTTGTTTGATGTTGCCTTTTTCCTATTTGTAAGTATTTGGAAACCTTAAAAAGTTTTGTAGAGAAAAAATACACTCACTTTGGCTTACATGCTGATGAGGATATTCTTTTAAATTTTCCTTGTAAAGCCAATACCTCTCTTCCAGTTCTTTTCTTACTTTTTGGCAAGGGCATCCCATGACTAAACATGAGCAAATCCGCACGTCAATCCCCAATGATGCCAAATGACATCATGCTTCTCCATCTTTTTAACCCATTCTTATTTTTCTTTACTTCGGTTTTTTCGTACCTCACGAATTTGAAACTTGTCAGACACCTGCAACTGAGCCTGGAAATTAGTGCAATGTGCGCATGCAAATCATCCTACCATCAAGATGGGTTGAAGGAAGAATTAGATTTTGAAGTTCCTCGTTTTTCATCCTTTTTTTACTGCTACTTCAAATAAGAACTCTGTTCAGTACCTACAAATTAGTTTTTTAAAAGTCCAAAGGGCAGAAAGGTAATTTTAGAAACTGTTAGAGCACCAACGCTAGCAGCCGTTTCTCCCTTCCCCGTCCTTCTGCGGCTTAACATCGTTACTCGTTGGTACATTGAAATCGCAGTTAAGTCAAGAGAAACATTTGGGATTTTTATATTAAAGCTGTCATGTATTTGACTCCATAGGAAACTACAATCTATGCAATGCGTTCCACGCGTGGAAACTGTGAAAAAAACAAGCAAACAAACATACTCAAATCATTAACCATCATTAAAGGATTTCAGTATTCCCACAATTACAGGAATTGATGATAACATAAATTCCATTAAGTTTACGAACGTTTCTTCGCAACTCTTAAATATCGTAATTCTCTTTCTGAAGGAACGAAGGAAATTCTTTCCTAACGGCGATGGCTAGCAATTTTTGTTTCATTCATGACGGGTATTTGAAGGGTAATATTAGTTTTATTCATTGGTCAGTGACGAGTCTGTGTATATCTTACCAATTCCGATAAAAACTAATTGATTGACGTTTGGATCACGTGACCCAGCACGTGACCTTTGTGGTCAGTACTATTTCCTCAAGGTTAAAGTTCGTACGAAAAGCTATCGTCCTCGAAAGTCCAATCCGCTATATTTTTGCGGAGATAGTGCCGTTTATTTTTGTAACGTAATTTACATCCCCTTTTTTATTGCGGTTAAAATTTAAAAAATGAAATCAAAATGTAATTGAAAGCCGGCAAACAGAGACTCGGCATTCATAGCTCTTTTAATTCCACACTTCGATCGTATCTTTGAAATTCAATATTCAAATATGACTTTCATATGTTCTTAACCGTTTATTTTATCACTTCACGGGTTTATTTAGAACCAACATCATGACCAGCTCCCAGTTGGCTTGTTAGCTCAGTTGGTAGAGCGCTGCACCGGTATCGCAGAGGTCATGGGTTCAAATCCCGTACAGGCCTGAATTTTTTTCAGGCCTTATTTTCACTACTGCCTAAG